CAGCAGAACTATAGAGATAGCTCAGGATAACCTGAGCCACCCTAACTATAAGCGTTATCAAAAAGGAAAGTTTTAAGCCTAGCCTTAAAAGTAGACAGGGTGTCTGCCTCACAGACTAAAACTGGTAGTTGGTTCCACAGGAGAGGAGCCTGATAACTAAAAGATCTGCCTCCCATTCTACTTTTAGAAATTCTAGGAACCACTAGTAAACCTGCAGATTGAGAGCGAAGTGCTCTGTTAGGAACATAAGGAACAATCAGATCTCTGATATAAGATGGAGCTTGGCCATTTAAGGCTTTATATGTGAGAAGGAGGATTTTAAATTCTATTCTTGATTTAACAGGAAGCCAATGAAGAGAAGCCAGGATAGGCGAGATATGATCTCTCTTTTTAATTTTCATTAGAACTCTGGCTGCAGCATTTTGGATCAGCTGAAGGCTTTTAACTACAGTTTGTGGACTTCCTGATGGTAAAGAATTACAATAGTCCAGCCTTGAAGTAACAAATGCATGGACTAGTTTCTCAGCATCACCCCTGGACAGGAGATTGCTCATTTTTGCAATGTTCCTCAGATGAAAGAAGGAAATTCTAGAAACCTCTTTGATATGGGATTTAAATGACAGGTCCTGATCAAAAATAACACCAAGATTTTTTACTTTATTATCTGAAATCAGTTTAATCCCATCCAAATGAAGTGACTGGCTAATCAGTTTCTTTTTCAGAGACTCTGGTCCAAAGACTATAACTTCTGTTTTGTCTGCATTCAGAAGCAGAAAGTTAACAGTCATCCAGGTTTTTATGTCTTCAAGACATGCCTGTAATCTATGTAATGGGTTAGCTTCATCTGGATTTATAGACAGATATAGCTGGGTATCATCAGCATAACAGTGGAAATTAATCCCATGCTGTCTAATAACTCTACCGATTGGGAGCATGTATAAAGTAAAGAGAATTGGTCCTAGCACTGATCCCTGTGGTACTCCACAGGTAACCTTTGAGCATGTTGAAGATCTATTATTAACATGAACAAACTGAATTCGATCAGATAGATAAGATTTAAACCAGTCTAGTTCTGTTCCTTTAATTCCAACAAAATATTCAAGTCTTTCTAAAAGAATATTATGGTCAACTGTATCAGTATCTGTTTAACAAAAGTGTCTGTAATTAGTTTTGACCCTGACTACCTCCACAGTTTTTCCATTATTGTAAGTAAAGCAGACAAACTCTGTCTAGAACTGAGCAGGTCTAAACATCATGCTGTAAGGACTGTTGTTTTGTTCTCTTTTACTGCAAAGTAAAATAAAATTCAGACTGAGTGAATTTCATCGATCTGCCTTTATTTAACTGGACTGTACAATTGAATACCTTTTACCAACAACAGGAACCCTGCATGCAAAATGTTATGATTCCCTTAACCACCTCTTTTTTCCCTGCATTTTATATTGTTATTATTACTTGTATATTTACATTGTTTTTGTGCACTGCAAAAAAGATATTTCTAAGTAAGTCATTTTTTTCTTTTTAAAAAATGCAAATTTTTTCTTGATTTGAGCTGATAAGTGAGACACTTTAGACAATTTAAATTTATAAACAGAAAAAAATGACTGCAGTCTAAAATTTAAATGCATAGTATCTACCATCTTAATTTAAGGGTAAAGTACTAATTTCATTGGCCAGTCGTCTTATTTACCTACTCAAATTAAGAGTAAATACACTTATTTCAAGAAATTTTCATTAATTTTTAGATAATTTTTTGCAGTGTGAGGTCCCATGTTACAATTTGTTAGACTGTTGTTTTCTAGCGTTTTTTGTTGTTTTTTTTTATCTCTGGTTTTCTCCTTTTTTGGAGTGGAATCGTTACACAGTCTGCACAAACAGCATTAATCATAAAAAGGAAAAAAGACTGTTTTTGTCAAGATCCAAAGAATTTTAGGGGCCACCATTATTTCACATTATGCTAAACATTTATCCTGGCTTAATTTATTCTTTAAAACCTGTTTGACGGTTTGAATGTCTAACTGTGACAAAAAAGCAAACCAATGAAAAACCTGTTGGCAATCACACTTTTTATATTCCATTTGTTGTTGCATCCTCCCACACTGCAGCTTGTGTCCAGCTCATATTGCACTTCCTAGATGAGGTTAGAACAAACTGACTTTTTTCCAAACAAAATGATTTATTGAACTCCTTGGCGAAGAGTGCAGAAGAATTCAGCAGTATACAAAACTAGTCAGAGCAGATCTCTCCTCTTCATTCCTGTGTCCTCTCACGCTAAGCTCAGTCGACATAGCTCAGACCTGTTCCAGATGGGCTGTTTTTTAATTATCCAATTGACCAAATGAGGAGCAAACTAGTGGAAATGAAGGTAAGAACCTCTAATATGTCTCTTTATTGGTGTCTGAATATCAAAAGTACACCTATTGGACGTCAAACTGATCAAATCTTTGCTTAGTTTAATCCACTGAAAGCATAAGACTTTAAAAGACTGCTGGACAACAATTTAGAGAGATGGATGGATGGATGGATGGATGGATGGATGGATGGATGGATGGATGGATGGATGGATGGATGGATGGATGGATGGATGGATGGATGGATGGATGGATGGATAGATAGAAAGGTGAAAAAAACATGTATTATTGTCTTTAAATACACATACATTTCTTTATAATTTGGTGAAGTTGCCTTTGAAACTGAGTGTAATAAACTAAACCTCACAAACTCACTAACTTTCACTTCACTCTCTATAAAAATTATGAGTTAAAAGGCATAAAATAACTCCTCATATTATTTAGCATGATCCTTGTTTTTTCGTTGTTTTCTAGTTTGATTGGTTTAATTGGTATTTTGTGGTGTTTTCTAGATGTATTTGAGTTCTTAAGTATTTCTTGATTGCCCTCTGTTTCCCTCTGGTGTTCGTCTCCTTTTCCCTAGCTCCCTTCTAGAATCCTCTGTTCACACCTGCTCCCAATCAGCTCATTAGTCCTGTCTTTGATCAGTCTCCCATATGTACCAGTGGTGACCGGCCCATAGGGGGCGCTGGGGCACCGCCCTCCCTGATAAGAAGAGAGAAATGTAAAATATATTTTTAGAAATTAACTCATAAATGTCAGTTTTACTCTCTAGAGTGTGTACCTATAAGTAAAACAAATTATATAACTACATTTCCCTACCTACTGTCATTCATTTGTGGATTTCCACAGACAGACTCCTACCGTCTCTGTCTTGGGGCTCTGATCAGACTGCCCCACATGTGCAGAGAATCTGCTAATCATGTACTATTGCTAGGTCAATTTAATAATTTAATGGCCAATCAGCGTCTCAGAATTTTATGGTCTTGGGGCTCTGAAAATACTGCCCTTTAAAGGAATAGTACACCCAAAACAGGATTAGCCTTCATTTTCTACTCACCCCCATGCTGAACAACACTCTGGAGTACTTTTTTGATATCTCAAATGCATCTGGAGATCTGGGAGGCTTCTTGCTGTCTGCTGACATTCAAATAATGGAGGTCTATGCGCCCGAGGCAGAAAGGTCCATAAAAGTCCACAAAAAACGTGTCAATATTCCTCCATACTGCTCGTCCAATGTATTCCAAGTGTCCTGAGTGGGTAGCGTCCAGAATTTACTGGAAACGAAGTCATTTAGAATGTTTTTAGAGCATAAACAGTAGTGTATAGGATTTCCTGAAAGCGCGCACCTGCGCGATCACGACGCTACGGAAGCCGGCAGACCAAACCAGATGAAAGTGCGCATTCAGCGTCTGCTCTTCCAATAATGTAAGCGTAGAAGAAGAAATGTGCCGTTTACCTGTGCAAAGAAAGAAACAACGAAAGAAAAATGTCTGAGGACTTCAGTGTTGAGGAAGAGCATGAGTTCTTTGCCGAGCTGAATGCGCACTTTCATCTGGGTTGGTCTGCCGCGGTTTCCGTAGACTCGTGAACTCGCTTTCAGGAAATCCTATACACTACTGTTTATGCTCTAAAAACATTCTAAATGACTTCGTTTCGAGTAAATTCTGGATGCTACCCACTCAGGACACTTGGAATACATTGGACGAGCAGTATGGAGGAATATTGACACGTTTTTTTGTGGACTTTTATGGACCTTTCTGCCTCGGGCGCCATAGACCTCCATTATTTGAATGTCAGCAGACAGCAAGAGGCCTCCCAGATCTCCAGATGCATTTGAGATATCAAAAAAGTACTCCAGAGTGTTGTTCAGCATGGGGGTGAGTAGAAAATGAAGGCTAATCATGTTTTGGGTGTAATATTCCTTTAACAGGCTTCTGCACCCAATGCGCAGGTGCAGACAATTAGAGGGACGATGGCGAATTTAACGAGCGAAGTGCAGCTTCCACCAAATTCGTTGAGATCCTTATTTGTACCCGTTTGCCAGAAGAACATCCCTTTTGTAGGATATGAACATTTCATGTCATGGTTATTGTGACCAAAATCATCACTGTTACTGTTATTATATAGTAAATTAAATCATTACTGTTAAATTGTATTTATTATCTAATTGTTTATTTGAATTCTTATTCTGGATTAGTTGGAGACATACACTAGGCTATATCAGCCCCACCAAAAATATTTTTCACCAGCCGCCACTGATATATACTCTCCCTGTGCAGTTCCTCAGTGCTGGTTCCGTCTTTTCCTGGCTCCTCATGTATACTTTCCCTGATGTCTCCAAGGTTCTGTTTGTTTTTTTCCTGTATTTGTTATGTTGAATTTTTGGATTCCTGCCTCAGTTGACTGTGAGTACTTAATTAAATCTAAATCACCTCTGCCTTTAGGTCCTTAAAACCTCAAGCCAAACATTATATAGAGAGTGTGTGTGGAGTTTGCAATGCCTTCATAGCAAAAATGGCAGGGGAGCATTACATCTCCTTGTGGAAGTATTTTGCTGAGTGTGGAACTGATTCTTACTCCACCAATATTTAGAACTGATGTCATGACTTATGACACAACATTAAAAAATTATGTTTTTCCGTTTTCCTAAAGGACAATAATGAAATGACACTGAGGCCAACTATTCCTGCCACTGGTTACAAAGCTGAATGAGGATCAATCTTTTTCCTCATCATGAACATGAGGAGGATGGTAAGGGATCTAAATAAATCTCCATTTTTAATGTTAGAGAACTGCAGTTTAAAGTGACATACAGCAGTAGCCATTCAAAACTTCCCCACTTTCCTTGGCTGGTTCCCTTCAATTCCTTTTTAGATCACTGGAAAAATGGTCTAGAAATAAGTAAAAATGTCTTAAATTAAGTGTATTTACCCTTAATTTGAGTAGGTAAATGAGACAGTTTGCTAATGGGATGAGTATTTTCACTCTTATAATAAGATAAATAGATAATATTCTCTTCAAATAGGACAAAGCAATTGTTTTTTCTTATCTTAAGTGTAAATTGTCTCGTTCCGTTGGCAAAATGTCTCACTTTCCTCCTCAACTCAAGAAAAAATGCTCTTATTTTAAGAAAAAATAACTTACGTAGATTTCAATTTTTTTGCAGTGTAAACATAGATATTTGTACAAAAATATTATTTCTGTCATGATTTATGGACATCAAGATCTAAAGAGAAGCGTTATCTCCTGGTCAGACTCTGTAATATGCACGCCCAGGAGAAGGCCAGTGGCTGGAAGTTGGAGGGGATTTTGCTGCCATTCGGCTGGCTTTTAACTGGGAAGGGCAATTTTGAACGGCTGCTACTTATTGTGGTCAACAAATGCTCACTATGCCTGCTGATTTTTTATTTTTTTTTATCTTTCCCTGTCTACTGTCACAAATGTATACATTTGGAGTTTTAGTATATCTACTGTGACCCTGAGAGGAACTTTAATATTTGGTCACATATAGATTTTTATCAACATTGTAGAAGGTGTATTTAAATAGAAAATGATCTGTACTTTTAAAGCCCTTTTCCAAGTCCAAGGACCTCAAAGGCGCTTTCCACTACATTCATTCATTCTTAGATCCTTCTATCTAAAACCCTGCAGAAAAACCTGAGCTGAACAGAACAGAGAGGGGGTCATTAAACCATTTAACGGTGAAGTCCAAAGTTGGCCTTAAAAGGCAGCTGTCCCGTTTCTCTAAATCTAAATACTAAGTCACTAACAGGCCTTTGGAAATCTAAGTTAGGTAATGATGTATTTTATATTATCTAAACGCTGGAGTATGATCTGGACAGACTGTGAAAACAGAAATAGTCAGTAAGATATTTATATTTACCTGCAGTGCAAAATTATGCAAATCTGCAAAAATATTCACAACATGGATTTTAATTACTGTATCAATAGTTACTCTGTTAATCCACAGAGTAAATATACTCTCATTGAGGGTTGTATTTTTTTTAACAAAATTTTTCAGTTGTGATGCTTCAATAAAAAGTAAATTCACTTTCATAGAGGCTGCACGCTGGCGCAGCTGTTAGTAAAACTGCTATGCAAAAAGAAAGTCATGAACTTAAATGGAATTTTGTTCTTTATTCTCAAAGTTTGCATGATCTCAATATTTATATGAAGGATCTCTCTGGAAATTCCAGCTTCCTCCCTCTGCCAAAAAACAGGCATGTTAGAGTAATGAGCCTCTCTCTGTACCGTTGTTAGAATGTGTGTGTAAGAGGCCAAATTTTTCGTATGTCTCTGTTGGATAGGATACCTGTTCTGCGTGAACTTGCCTCTCCCCCAATGTCTGTCTGAAAAAAAAACAAGGTATTGTTATGAGAGGCTTAAGATAACCTGATATAAGTTCAGACACAAACTTGCAAGTAAAGGTGCATAGCTTTGTGGTTTCACTGTATTCAAATATTTACACCAATAGCGCCCTCTAGTTGCATACAAAGTTTTTGACTGATTGCCACATACTCCTGGTGTATTGTTTGATTTTGTGTTTGTGTGTTTAAATCTAGTTTTTCCTCAATTTGTTATTAAAAAAAGGCCCTTTGTGTATATCTAAAATAACAATGGATATACAATACTGTGCATACGCACAGGGGTAAAAAAGGAAGTAATGTGGCTAAGCTAGTTAGCAACCGCCAACAGAGATCTGAAAGTTCAATTCAGTTTATTTCTATAGCGCCAATTCCTAACATGTCATCTCAGGTCACTTTCCAGTTCAACCAGATCATCCAGTCAGATTGATTCAAAGTTTTCTATCTAAGGAAAACCAGCTGATTGCATCGACTCATTGACTCTTCAGCAATCCCTCACACTAAGCATGCTTGTAGCGACAGTGGAGAGGAAAACTCCCTTTTAACAGGAAGAAACCTCCAGCAGAACCAGGCTCAGTGTGAGCGGCCATCTGCTGAGGCCCACTGGGGTTCAAGGAGACAGAAGCAGACATAGAAAAAGAAGCATAGATACAAAAGGCAACTGTCAACCAGCTTCACAGGCGGCCCCGTCCAGGAAACACACAGCCAGGCAGACGAGCTCCGAGCCAGCTCCCATGTCAGAGGATGAAGAGAGCACATCCAGTTAGTCACAGTCAGAGAAACAGGACTACACTGGAAAACAGGCCAAGCTCCAACATCTAGAAACAAAGGTGTTGATGGCAGCAGCACAGCTGATATTTCTCTCCAGGATGGAGTCACAGCCAAACAGGAACAGACCAGATGAAGCTACTATGAGAAAAAGCAGAGAGAGCAGAACGTTAGAGATTGAACTAACAGATTCTGCAGAGTGGGAGAATAGAGATAGAATGAAGCAGAATGATGAAAAAGGGGTCCCTATGTCCTCCAGCAGTCTAAGCCTATAGCAGCGGAACTATAGAGATAGCTCAGGATAACCTGAGCCACTCTAACTAGAAGCTTAATCGAAAAAGCTTGTAATCTGTGAGGCAGACACCCTGTCTACTTATTTTTAAGGGTAGGATTAAAACTTTATTTTTGAAAAAGCTTATCAAAAATACATAAATAAAAAAATAAGGAAGAAAATCATACAATTCAGTGTGGAAAGAAAATAGCAGATTGGAAGAGGGATAACTCTAGAATAGTACTCCGAAATTAACAGCCAGAGAAAATAAGAGTTAATTGGAGAATTTATATCCATACAGTGTAAGTGAAATATATTATGTGCATATGTAAGTGAGGTACAAATTATGACCTGAAACATCACACCAATGTGTTTTTCCATTTTATTTTGTTTCCCAGCTTTTGGAGCAGATCCTGCCTACAACCCAAGCCTCAGCGAGCTCTGAAAACACTTCATATGGTCGGTCAGATTTAACAGACACCCCAGAATGGCAGATGATCTACGCCATCGCACCTCCTTACATCCTCATCCTGTCGATCTTAGGGCTCGTCTTCAACAGCTTCGTCCTAGCAGTGTTTGTAGCCCAAAGGGACCACCTGACGGTGGCAGAAACCTACCTGAGTAACTTGGCTCTGGCAGACTTCCTCCTATTGTGTGGCCTCCCTTTCTGGGCGATGAATATCCTGAACAAGTTCAAATGGTCATACGGAGATGCTATGTGCAAACTGATCAACTCCATTATAGTCATCAATTACTACACCAGCATCTACACCCTGGTCATGATTAGCATCGATCGCTACCTAGCCCTTGTGAAAACCATGAAGGCGAGGTGGTTAAGACGGAATCGGTATGCTAAGATGATGTGCTTCATCCTGTGGCTGTTGGGGCTGTTTCTCAGTCTGCCAACCATGATTCACAGGAAGATAAAATTCATTGAGGAGCTCAATACAACTGCCTGTATACTAGATTACGCCAATGACAGTTCTTGGAAGTTTTCCAATCATATTCTGATTAACGTGGTGGGCTTCGTGCTTCCGATTCTCGTCATTGTTTTCAGCAGCTGGAAAATAATCAAGGCTTTGTCTCAGAGGACGGAAAATGCAGCTTTCCATGACTTCAAAGACACAAAGGCTATGGTGCTCATTTTTGCCGTAACGCTGTTATTTCTACTGTGTTGGTTTCCCTTCCAGGTTTTGACCCTCCTAGAGACCCTCTGTGATCTGAACGTTTTGGATGAAACGCTCTGGTCTAACACTCTCGACATTGGATCACAGGTTTCTGTATATCTGGGTTTTCTCAACAGCATGCTAAATCCCCTTCTCTATGTCTTCTCTGGGCAGTATTTTAAAAGGAAGGTTAATGCCATCTATAGAAGGGCTAGACATCAGCGCAGAGGATCAGACATGACTACATACCAGCGATCGGTGGTGTCCACATATGTCAACAGAACAGAGCAAATAAGACATGTGGTCCTTTTAAATCCTAAAGATCACATAGGACTCTAACACATTAATTGCATCATTGCTAATTAGGCAGCACTGCAACATACCTTTTGCTCTAATCTTTCGAGAAGCAATGATGTAAGACCTCTTGCCAGTAGACAGATGGAGATAGGCACAAGCACGCCTTGCGATCCCATGATGGTGATGATATGAGACAAAGTTTTACGTTTCCACAGTCTATGACGGCCTGCATCTTGGACTGTACACATGCTTTGTGTTTCTAATTGTTTCATTTGCTTGACATTTTTCTTTCCAACAAACAAATTAGCCTTCTGACCATAATGAAGTCATTAGACTTCCCTGTAGCACACTCAGCGTGGAGGATTGTTGCTGCAAAAAGGGCAGGATTTTACTCTGCTTGTACTCAGAACCCGTAATGCTTGCATTCAAGACTTTCTCTCTGATACTCTCTTGCGTTCATCAAATTTTTGTCGCTACTCTCATATTTTAACGGTTTCTTAGGGATATCTTCCTTCTCCTCATGACTAAACTTTATCACTGCTTGAGTCAGAAATTAGCTGGCAAACCTGTTGCCCCACCTGTGGAATTTTATTTTGTTTTTGTTTTTGGCAAATCCAGTGACTATTCCAGCCAATAAAATAAAAGTGATGATCTTCATGAAGAATGCACTCCCAAACATACTTTCCCTGCTTGTAATCCCTGTTTCCTCTCTCTCTGATTGAAGCGTTATCATAATCTTGCAGCTTTTTCAGCTGATAAAAGTCTTACATAGTTTGGGCGTGTTTTCTTCCACTGAGATAAACGATGGTTTTACAAAAAATATTAGAATTAGTAGCTGAAAAAAAAGGAAAAAATACAAGCAAGAGCATCTTTTTCCGTGGTTATTTAAAGAGAACTATAGCAGGAACAAAGGGAAACAAACACCTTATGTAGTGTTGTCATTCTGTTGGTTCACTGGTTGCTAGGCAACACTGCTAATCCAATCAGGGAGAGAGGAAACAGAGGTCCTTTCTCAATATACAAAGGCTGTGTCTGATCGGCTCACAGCAATAATTGTGCGTTCTCATGCACTCGTGTGACATCCTCAGCCTCAGCCCCAACACTGTTCCAACTGTTAAGAACACAAAACAGAGATGCTGTCCTCATGGAGCTCAGAGCGTTTAGTTAAAGGTTCACTTTTCTGCTGCTATGTCCTACAAAAAGTACAGTTTCAGATCTTTTAAGGTGAGAACATTATACTTTTCAATTCAATTCAGTTTATTTCTATAGCGCCAATTCACAACACATGTCATCTCAAGGCAATTTCCAGTTCACCAGATCATCCAGTGAGATTGATTCAAAGTTTTCTATCTAAGAAAAACCAGCTGATTGCATCGACTCATTGACTCTTCAGCAATCCCTCACACTAAGCATGCATGTAGGGACAGTGGAGAGGAAAAACTCCCTTTGAGGCCGACTGGGGTTCAAGGAGACAGAAGCAGACATAGAAAAAGAAGCATAGATACAAAAGGCAACTGTCAACCAGCTCCAAAGGCGGCCCCGTCCAGGAAACACACAGCCAGGCAGACGAGCTCCGAGCCAGCTCCCATGTCAGAGGACAAAGAGAGCACATCCCGCCAGTCCAGTTGTTAGTTTTTAGCCTTAACATTTGGTCCGTTTACTGATTTAGCCTGTGATAAATCAGTAAACGGACCCTACTGTTTCACAAGTGGAACAGTAGGGAAACAGTACGGCTATCGCCATAGTGTACCGCTTGTTTCATGCATATAAATAGGTTTATTATAATTATGCAGGGAGTTTCACAGATTATATGGACACTGCAATGTAAATAGAACAGAAGAGGAAAAACTGAAAAAAAGTAGAAAAGATGAAAGAAAGAGGAGATAAAAGTGAGATAATGGTAAAACATTTTCAGTCTGCTTCATCACCTGCAAAGAGATGTAAAAAGAACAGCACAACCAACGGACATGGTATGAGACATACAATAAAGCAATCACCTAGATACTATCGCTGAATTATTATTATTATAGTATTATAAAAGTTCTGATGTTGACACGACCATGACAAACTGCCTCTTGGTAACCGCTAACTCCATCCAGGGCTAACGTTAGCCCATCTACAGCAGTCTGCTATCGACCTAGTTGTGTGGGAAGTACGCATTGATGCCTATTTATTCACTGGATAGCCAATTGTCGCCATGTTGGTACTCCCTATAAATATTTTTATATATATATATATATATATATATATATATATATATATATATATATATATATTTTTATATAAAACTGTTTTCTCACCCCTCGCGGGGTGGTATGTGTCATCCTCAAGCTGGGGTCCTCTACCAGAGGCCTGGGAGTTTGAGGGTTCTGCGCAGTATCTTAGCTGTTCCTAGGACTGCGCTCTTCTGGACAGAGACCTCTGATGTTTTACCTGGAATCTGCTGTAGCCACTCTCCCAGTTTGGGGGTCACAGCCCCCAGTGCTCCAATTACCACTGGCACCACTGCTGCTCTCACTTTCCACATCTTTTCTAGCTCATCCTTCAGCCCTTGGTATTTCTCAAGCTTCTCGTGTTCTTTCTTCTTGATGTTGCTGTCGCTTGGGATTGCCACATCTATCACTACTGCCTGATATGTATATATATATATATATATATATATATATATATATATATATATATATATATATATATATATATATATATATATATACATACAACAGCAGTGAGTTTGATGGATCAGTCTAACTCACTGATCTCTATGAATAAATAGAGATCAGTGGTCTAAGTAGGGAGTACCAATATGGCTTAAGCAACATGTACTACTGACGGTCTATAAGCAATCCAGTGAATAAAAAGAGATTATGGCGTTATTTTATTTTTCTTTTTTGTACAAAACATTCATCTGATTTGCATTAATCTGACTGACTTGTTTTATTTTATGTACTTTATGTACTTGCTGAAATAACATTCTGCTAAACAATATTTTAATAATGTCTTGTATACAGCCTATTCACTATTTTTTTATTATTATTTTAATGTACATTACATTACATTTTAATCATTATTACCCTACTTAAAAAAAAAATGTAATTTATTATTAAAGGTTTAATCTGGAGACTATTAATAACAGGAGGTGAACTGCAGCTCAGCGTGTGATGATGTCACAAAAAGGCTCATGTTCCAATTCACACAGATTTATTATATGTGCTTATTTTGATGTAAGTTTTTCTACAGACCTGAAGTTTTAGGTTTATGCGTTATAGTTTCTTGTGTATATTTTGTTTGTTTGTATTCAGTCTATAGAATTGCAACAATAGAGGTTTGTTTTATTGGTAACACTGCAATAACATCATAACCACCATTTTAATAAATGGTAATTATGAACAGATTGTGTATTAATGTTTGATAATAATTTATAGACTGCATCTATACCACTTATAGAAGGTTAATAATTAATGCTTCTCTGCCAAGTTAGTTTAACCCCAACATTAGTGGCCTTAATACCTTACTAAATTATCTATTTACCGTTTATAAATTATTTAGATGCATTTTAAAATTGAACCAAATGTTAATTAACTATCTCTTAATCATTAATAAATGGTCCCTTTAGCTTTTATAAATGATGGTTCTGATGGTAATTTTAAAGTGTAGCCATTTTATTTTCTAATTCCTTTTCCCACTGTTTATTTATCTGCACTACTGGTATTATACTGTAAATGTACACAGTGTGTATATATTGATTAACAAATTAGCTGGAATAAAAAGGTGTGCTCTATTGACATCCTAAGCCCCTCTGTGAATTGATATGCTGTCTATATTAAAACAATTTAGAAATAGAGCTCTTTGATTAGAGAGGCTTTAACATAATGCTACATAATTGGGTAGTTTTAATCCACACGTTTTATGACAGTAGAAGTAATGGACTAAAGCAGTTTTTTCTGATCCTGTGGTTCCTAATAAAGTTTTATAACACTTGATTAATTTATGTGTGTATGTTTGTTTAATTGTTTTTTTTTTCATTTTGAGTCATCTTTATTTGATGTTTTACTGTAATGTAAGAATCATCCATACAATATATAAAAAAGAAGGATATTGTTGTACTTCTAACTGCTAAATAATCAGGTATGCAAAGAGAGCGAGCGGCTTTCTGCATCCTCCTGCATTTCTCATATTCTGTATACACCATCTTCTATAATTACACAGCCTCCTGATCCCCGACTTAAAGCTTCCATTAGAAATCTCATTGTTCCTTATGTTCCTAACGCAGCATTTGGCTCTCTGTCTGCAGGTTTATTAGTGGTTCCCAGAATATCTAACTGTAGAATGGGAAGCAGCCCTCTTAGTTATGTTAGGATAATTATAATTGATGATGTGTGTTTATTACGTCTTAATATTAGCTGCCTGTTGCGTGTTAGAACTGATGTTTTCCACAATAGTTTATCTAATTAAGACAGTTCCTCTGTCCGGTTATACAGTTATAATCTCCATTCTGTACGTGGCAAATATTTGGGGGTGGAAGGAGAGTGGCGTCCTTCAGCTAAGAACAAAGTGTTATTGTCACGTCTTGGTTGAGGTTTAGAGGACCCAAATGCAGAGGCAGAGAGGCTGAGGTGAATACTTGTAGTTTTAATGAAAAAATGTTTAACAAAGGCAGTCCAAAAATCCAACTTAAATGTAACAGACCAGAACCATGGAGACATCAAGGGAAAACACGTAGAAGGAGCCAGGGAGAGACGAGGGGAGACGATTGCAGCGATGACAGGACCAGCAACAACAGAGGAACCAACAAAGAGTGAGAGCAGAGGGAGAGCATATATAGCTGACAGAGACAAAGGGAGGGCTAACGAGCAGACAAGGAGCAGGTGTGAGGAGACAACGAGGGAGCCAAGGGGAAAGGAACACACACACACACACACAAGAGGGCAACAGAGAGCAGAAAAACAAGAACTAACATAAATCTAGAAATTACAACAAAATAGGAATTAAACCAATAAATCTAGAAAACAAGAAGCAAAGTAAAGCACAACATAACCAAAACCATGACAGTTATACTGTATTTTGATAAGGCTGGAGCTATGGATGTCTCCTCATCCGCTAACGTATATGATGTAATGATGTGATGATGTGGCAGACTGGAGATGTATAAAATGCCTCTTAAATTGTTTATCTGGGCCACTTTCTGAGAGGTGAGCCAAGGGGTGAGCAGCTGCCTTCTGTAAACTCTAAACAACTTCTCTGATCTCAGAGTAATATTACAATTTCTATCAAAAACTGTTGTCATGTCTAATGGTTATGTAATACATATAAGTTATGAAGAGTTATTTAAAGAGTTTGTTCCTAGTGATCTCTTTTCAGGAAAAAGAACCGGAGAAAGAAAGCTCCAAGGTGAAGAACCAGAGCCTTCTTTTACAGTTACCAGGCTCCTCTCCTGT